TTGCAGTTCATATAAGGAAACTTACTTTTATAGCAATGTTTCATTTAGGCTGATCCCTATGGACGTAGGATAAGCACCATTCTCAATAAGAAGTCCGAAACAAGCTTGCCAGCAACCTCTGGTACATAACGAAGTCTAGCTGTTCCATCTGTGCTACTTAGGGGAAACGTTTACGGTTAAATGTAACTGTTTGGCAAAACACAAGCATTCCAAAATGGTATATTCTCGATCGAGAGCGACAGAACAACGAGACCGTGGCTCAGCGGTTAGGGGATTTGGACTTCTAACTCACAGGCCGTGAGTTCGAGCTCGGATGTTCCACGCTTTGGGGTTGGGTATGACTGGCTGACGACGCCCAAAAAGCCAGAAATGGCCATTCCAGTCTCCTTTGTCTTTGTCGGTATACTATTCTGCATTCCGTTCTTCTTTGTCACGCTCGACGGAAAACGCTTACTGGATTGTTATCACCCATAAAAGTGAACGAGAGAGCAGCTAGGTGGCAACAATACTGAAATAGCGCACAGCAAAATATGAATAAAATTATCTTCTTTGCGAATGGAATAGAAAGTTCCGGTTGGTTAATCTGGAGGAGTTTTTGACTTCAAATGCCCCTGAAGGTGTAGGCAGAACTGCTACCACCCACAATTGGTTCGAAAAATTTCCGAATGATAGTCTGTAACTCTGAGTTTTGATCATCAACTGTGCAGTCAAGCGCCATGTGCGGCGAAAGACGAAGGTATATTCTGGCTGACCAGTGTCCGAAAGACAGGATATGCAATCTGGACAGGCAAAGACTGACGGACCTCCATGATCTTGCTGTGAATGTTCATTCTTAAACTTCCTAATTAATGTTAAAACGGCTGAGTCATCGTCGGACAACAAAATGTAGGAAAAGCTGATGAAGTTCTTGTGATAACTGTTTGGGTGACTTGTCAGTTACTTATCATGCATGTAAATACCAATTTCCTGAAAAATGGACATAACAAGAAATAGAATCCAAAGAAAAATGAGTACTTTGGAAAATTGAATCACTTTTATTTCCTAAATTTTGGACGTTGGTTCCTCAGCTCGTCGTCAGACGTGTAGGAAGCGTAAAAAGCAGTTGAAATTTAAACATGCCAGAAAACTCGACATTGTTCAGTCAGTGCTGAGGATGGGTCGATGCTGTGGGCCGACATCACGCTTTGATTAGTTATTACCTTTTCCATTTTTTTGCGATCGGTGTACATGGCGTCCAGATCGATACGCCGATTGATGCACGAATCATCAGAGGGAATGGCCTTTAGGAATTCGCGGCATTTCTTTTTTGTATAGAGGCCGACAACTCGTGTTTTATCCCAAGCAACTTTGTGTCCAGAGTTTAGAGTAGGCATGACGACTTAGGATAAGTGGTTCCGCTTCCTTACTGCCAATTAGAGTTCTTGTAGGCGTGTAGAGACGGATTTCCCCGTTTAACCACAATATTCGCATTACAGGTGCCACATGGAATCTTATAGACAACTTAATTTTTTTCTATTGACTCATCTGCGACATACTCGGAGCCTCGGGGGAATTCGAACCCACGCAGTAAGGGGAAGGCTTTAGTACAGCCAACGCTCTTACCACTTGAGCTACAAGGCCCCACCGGACGACGCGAGTTTAATCACATTTGGGCAAAGTTACCCGCCCAACCTACTGTAACGTCTGGAATTCACCAAATCTGGTTCAGTAAGTTGACTGCCCAGGCAGGATTTACGTAAGCCTGGTAGTTATCTGGTGGATTCTTGATGAATTAATTAGGAAATCCTGCTTGGGCAGTCAACTTACTGTATCAGATTTGGTGGATTCCAGACGTTGCAGTAGGTTGGGCGGGTAACTACTTGACCCAAATGTGATTAAATTCGCGTCGTCCCACGGGACCTCGTAGTTCAAGTGATTATAGCGTTGGCTGTACCAAAGTCTTCCCCTTACTGCGTGGATTCGAATCCCACGGAGGCGCCGAATTTTTCTTAGCTGGGTCTATAGGAATTATTCGGAATCTGCCAGAACATCTATGACTTATATTTTATTCAAACAATCAATCACATCCTAAGGGTATACAAGCTGCAAGCGTATCGTAGTCGTCGGTTTGTGCACTAATTGTATCTGGTGCTTCCTCAGGTTTCTTTCGACGAGTTCGACGAAGTGTCCGTCAAAAGTTTGGTTTTGGCGCTGATCGGAACAGTGTGGCTCCTCATCTCTTTTCTTTGATTACTGTTGTCTCATGCTTCGACGACCTGGCGAAACAACGTCGAAAATTCACGAAATAACGTTTGCCGAATTTTCCAAAGGATTCATTTCTCTTCGAATAAATATATATAATATGACCGGTATTTATGTGTACGTTCCTGTCTCAAAACTGCTCATAGACTCAAAATTACGAACGGACTTATATACCCGAGAACTTTGTTTTATTTGGTACTATTGCCGGGCTAAATATCCCAACCACGATTTCCGCAGACAAATTTATTCAACCAATGCGTTGTTTACGCGAAATGCTTAACTCACTCCGAATATTTAAGAAATAATATTTTTCTTAGAATTATGACTCACTCATAATTCACTCACTCATAATATCAGAATTTATCTGACACATACAATCCAAAATAGACCTTTATCCGCGTTGCAGGTCAACTGACGATCTGACACTATTCTGCCAAGATCAAATGTTGAATTGTCGCTTGCTGAACTATCGTAATTGCAGGATGGAAAAAGATATTTTAGAATTTGCTCTTGAGGTTCCAGGTTCCATGCGCGAGGCGGGAAGTCTCGGGTCTTCCGCACCTGACTCTAGAATTATGACAGACTGACGATTGCAAAAAAAACGGCGGCAATGATCATGTCCGTTCTGTCTGCGACTCATGCGGTTTCCAACTCTTGCGAGCACTCTCGCCTCGTTGACCTTGACTGTTTGACCTAGTTGAGCGGGTCGCGAGCTAACAGAGTCATGATTCGTCGACCACCTGTCCTCTCAATGATCACCTACCGCATCTAGTATCCAGACTTTGTCAGGGAAAGACAATCATTTGTACGATATACAGATTTCGGCATCATAGGTGCTAGCTTAAAGCCCGGACACGTGTTTCGGCGATATTTTGCCGATGCATGACTCAGCTGTGAGGGCTTCGGCTCATCAGTGGATACCTCTGCGTACCCTAGGTGCTGTCTGGTAGGTACTTCAGTTTAGATATTGCAGATTTTTAATTTCATAAGAAATCAATCGCTCACTCGGAACAAAGCAGTCGACTTGGGATTTATACGCTCCCACTTAGAGGTGCACACTTCTCCTAATGAGGGCATCGGTGGACCGGATTGCTGAGTAACTATGGGGTAAATAATCAGCGACACTGATGATATACCGGCAGGTAACGACTTGGATGTAGGCGATCAGTCAGTCATCACAGAAACTCCGCCCATTCGTGCTGAATACTAAAACTGCTGAATTTGATGGATATATGGTTACATAACAACAGTCTCCTGTTGATACGGATATCGGATCCTGAAAGTCGGTTAAGTATAGTTCCAGCAATCATCTCTCGTTCTTTTCACTTAGCTAACGTTTTTCAACCAATGTGAGTATGCATGCGGCGAAAATCATCGAGTTTACAAGCCGAACGGAAGTCATGTTTCTCTAGAGAAAGTAAGTCCATAGCGAACAGTTGACCCTAGCAATTTCTTTGCTGGCACGGTAATTCTTCCCGTAACTAAATGACTTTCATTTTGGAAACCTATCATTGGGCCAGAATTTGTTTTAATTCAAAATACCATATGGACTAATGTATTCACTGGCAAAAGAGCCATTTATAAATTTCTTGTTAAACAGAGTTCTGCAGATAAGTCAATAAAACGGGCATCCTCTCACTGTCTTTTTAAGTCACTGAAACGAACCCTTTTGTAAGGAATTTACGTGCCATAAGTTAATAGACTCATTGTCGTCCATAAAAAAATGCCAGCAGATTTCGTCTTCTGAATATTTTTCAAAGAAAGCAATGTAGAGCCGTTAAGTCAGATAAATGATACATGAGATGCATATTCGAATATAATCACAGTACGCATTTCCAGGCTTTTCTGTTCCTACCAGTTTAACTGCTGCGGTCTCAAACAGCTCCCTCAGGCTTCTTCGGCCTTTTTATCACTTTTATCCTCCTCTTCTTTCTTCTCTCCTTCTTCCTTCACCGTGTCAGTCTTTGGGGCTGCCTCTGAATCCTCTTTCGGTTCTTCCTCCTCAGTAACCTCGCCTTTCTCCACCGCATGCTCTTCTACAAGACCGTCTTTTCCCTCTTTACCTTCGATCTCATCAAGGGCCTTCGTCAAGGGAGTTGTATCCAAGCTCTCCTTGGTTTCGCCTTCATGCGCCTCGGGTTCCGGCTGAACCGGTGCTGCCGCTGAAACTACTTCAGTAACTTTGTCGTCTGCACAAAAGAAAAGGTACTTTATGTGTTAACCACAGCCATACCTGACATGTTGTCGGGATTACCAAATAGTGATCACTACAGAAGCCGGAACAGACTTGCCTTTTTATACTTTCGCGCATGATTCGTGGAGCCGGGGTGGAGATATTCGTACACACGGTCGAGCGTAATGGGTACGCTGGTGCATGCGGTGTCCCACGAACCGCGCAGGTTGTCCTCTCGATTGGAGGCACATGAAATTAAACAAACAACATCTCTCCCACGACGCTTGGTAAGTTCACTCGTGCCAACGTTTGA